GTGCGTGCGGGCGAGTCGAGGCCGCCTGGGCTGGCGAAAAGAATGCTGGGCTGAATGTTGCCCCCCCACGGTTGGCCGGCGATGTCCCGCAGGTGTCCCGCGCGTGTCCCGTGGGTTTCCCGTGGCGTCTCGCGGTGTCCCGCGGTGGCCCGCGACTGTCCCGCGGGTGTCCAGGGGGGTGTCCCCGGGTGTTTATGCTGCTGTGCACTGCTATGCTGCGCTATGCCAAGCAAAACTATGCTACGCGATGCTATTGTATGCGGTGCTACGCGATGCTATGCTATGAGGTGCCATGCTACGCTTGAGCTCCAATTGGCCCCCTTCCCACACCCCAACCCCTTATCCCCCGAAGGGTGTTCGCATAGGATTTAAAACGAAACGACAGGAGGAGGAGGGTCGCAGCCGCATGCTGCGCAGTGCAAGCAAGAGCTGCCACTTTCGCCCGACACGGGCCGGCAATGATGACAAGGGCGGACAGGACAGAGCAAGCTCGCGCGTGATCAGGCCGATCCGAACGGACAGCGCCCGCGCAAGAGCCCGCGCGAAAGCAAGCGAAAGAGACGCAGCCAGAGTGCAGTGGGGGCGTCTTGGGGGCATCCGGTGGGCCTCTTCTGGATATGCTTTGTTTCTGGGTGGGCTGGTGAGGATGCGGGAAGCATGGAGCATTTGCCCTTGAAGACCAGCCGTCCCCCCCGGGAGCATGCATATAGATTGCGGCCGAATGCTACCAGGTATCGGCGCATGAGTGTACCTCTGGAAAAAATCAAAGACAAGTGAAACATGTCCACGGAATTGATCTCACGCGTCGGACCCAACCACGTTTCGAAAATCCATCATTTCTGTCAAGAAGAAACGTGCGAACTCCTTCCCCATGGCGTTGACGTTTTCCCTGTAGTGCCCGAGGTCACGAAATCGATGCTCACACGCATCGGCATTGACGCCAGCCGGTCGCGCAGCGTTGCCGGGCAAAGTCGGCGCGCAGTTCTCCAAACACCATTTCCAGACGTGCCCCTTGGAGTGGAAGGGATCGGTGATGTAGCGCAGCTAGGAGATATTCGTTGCCATGTCGCTCTGGCCGTCTCTGAGGAGCGCGAACCGGCACAGGTGGCAGGCATCGTCGCGAACCAGGACTTCGAGGCCAGGGAGTATGTCGCAGCAGCGCGCCACAAACATGCAGCGTTGGGTGATGCCCTCAGCCCCCATGAATTCGCCCAGGTGGACAATGCATCCAAACGCAGATATGGCGAAGAGCCAACCGCCACTCCGCGCGGTCATCCGTTTCGTCTTTATGTCCTCCTTGTGGGTTTTGCAGGAGTTTTGACCTAACGCTTGCTCATCGCTGCGTTGGGATAAATTCCCGCGACAGCAACCGTGGACAGGTAAGCGTGAACGGCGGCAGCGCTGAGTTTGTCCGCTGGCGGCCACGCGTTCTGCTGCCGGCGCGCAGCTGCGTGCTTCCGCCGCAAGCGGAATAACTTGTAGCGGGCCTTCAGCTCGAAGACTGGCCTGCCCGAGTCGGTGAGGGCGCTCTTCTGCCGATGCGAGAGGATGTCGTAGGACCTCGCCCGCGGGCCAGGCGGGCCCGTTGCCGACGCATGAGCGGGGCAACGGGCAACTTGCCTGCGCGCCTTGAGCAGCGGTTCGCCGTCTTCAACGGCGTCGCCGCCATGCGGCGGCGGCGATTCGCCGCCCTCAGCGGCGTCGCTGCCATGCGCGCCAGAGCGTTTCCTCTTCTCCGGCTGCAGCGCCGGGGTCTCGGAACAACAGCGCCACATTCCAAGGCCCAACGACTTCGAATGGACACGCTCGCAATACGGATAACCGCAGACGCGGCGACGGAGCTTGTGGTTCCCATCCATGACTAATAATGGGGCGCCCTTCTCACCAGCGCGAAATTGCTTCGCCCTTTGGGCCTCCATTGCGCCGTGGTGCCATGGGCCGATCCCGCGCAGGATATCAGGCGCAGGTAATGCAAGATCCATCGATCCGACAGAGTCCACTGGATCGGCGCCCAACTGAAAGGCGCGGGCGTGGGCGCGGACCAGCGCCCGCCAGAGAATCCACACTTTTGCCATGTAGTCATCTGGCCGGGTCGGGGCAAGGGAAGCCACGCCGCGCATTCTTGCAGTCCGGAGGTGCACTTGGGCCTCCGACATGAAACTAACGTGCTGGTAGGCAAGGCGGCAATGATACTGCCGTAGTCATTCTAAAGAAAACCCAATGGTGGAGTTGAGAAAGAAGTACAACGGGTCGCCATCGTGGCAGTGCCAGTGCCGTGGCGTCCCAATTTGGATGTAATTGCATCAGACAGCGCGGTACTTGCGGCCGCAGCGCACATTGTGACAACGTTTGGGGAAGTGCACGATCTTCTTCCAGCCGCCCACCAGCAAGGGGGTGCCCTCGCGGGAGCGAGCGGGCTCGCGGTGCAGCGCGGCCTTGCACTCGAAGCAAGAATCGGAAGAGGAACAAATTTCCATGGACATTCGAAGCCTGCGCGCGCCGAAATCTCCGCCGAAAGCGGCTGAGCCCACGCGGCTACGGGCGACAGATTTGGGAGGGGGGCAGCGGGCGCGAGTCAACGAGATGTTCTGCGGCGCGACTGCGCCAGGGCACGGGCAAATGCGCGTGCGCCCCCCGGATTCGGCCGACGCGGGCGAAGCGAGACATTGTGGGCATGCTTTTCACTCGCGCGGGCGCCCGCATGAGATCCGCTGCAAACGGCGGCCCGGCAGAAATGGGGCAATGGGGCTGAAAACTGGGCCCGGCCCCGCAGCCGGCCCGGCGCGCTCGCGAGCGGAAAGCAGTCCGCGGCGCCCTCGCGCGCTTTGGTGCCCTTACCCGCAACATCCAATGTCCCCTAGTGGGTTCGCGGCACGGGCCGCGCCGTCGCCCGCGCAGCCCGCGAAAGCTAGTCCGCGAGGTCACCGAACGGATTGACGCCCATCGCTGGGACGTCCGCGTCCGCGGGGAGGAGGCGCTGAGGCGCGCCAGACGCCCCGCGCGCAGCTGGGGCAGAGGCCGCAGGCGCGGCCTGCGATCCACCCTCGCCCGCGCCGCCCGAAGCCTCTGCGGCTGCGGAGGCCGATGCCTCCGCGCGCGGCTCGCGCCCGGGCTGTGTCTGACTCGGCGCGTAGTCGAGGAAGCCCGCCTCCGCTGCCCCGTCGCTGGCAACAGGCGGGCCGCGAACCTGCTGCAGGCGAGCTTGTTCTTCGGCCCCTTCGGCTCGGCGCAGGCGCTCCTCGGGCGTGTCCGCGTCTCTCTTGGGGTGCCAGCAAGAGCGAATGGCGTCCAACACGGCGAAGAGTTTGCACGCCTGCGCGACGCGCGCGCCCTCGATGAAGTCCGGGTAGCGCGGCCCCCCGATGCCTTCATCTACTTCCTCGGGCACGCCCTGCGCCGCGGGGACTTCCTCGCCTGCCGGGGCTTCTCCAGCGACGCCGTCGGGCCCACCGCGCCGGGCGCCGCGGGCGCCAGGGCGAGCTTTGGGGGCTCGCGCGCGCCGCACCCGACTTCGAGGATGGCAAGGCCGGCAGAGAGCATCGCCAGGTGCCATGGGACGATGCCGAGACGCGCGGGCACTGGGACCCTGTCTGCGTTGCGCGCCTGGGCGCACCTGGCGTTGAAGATGGCGTGGAAGCCGCGCGAGGCCAAGAGCCCCTTCTTGGAGAACCCGAGCTGGATGCCCGGCGTCTCGAACATGTCGAGCACCCTCGCCGCGATGCTGTCCATGCTCTCGTTGGCGAGCACAGGGGCGCCTCTGTTTGGCACCCGGAACGTCGGGCGCCATTTGCCGGGAACCCTCTTGAAGCGAATGCGACTCTCCGTGCCGCCTGCGAACTGCACGTAATATCCCCCCCGGAATTGGCCGAAGCGCCCGCGGGCTCACGCGCCCCTGGCCCCCTTCGGGGCCAGCGGGCCCCCCGCGCCCGCACTGCGGCCCTTGCAGCTTTTAGAAGGAACGGGGAATCACTCTGGAACCGCGGGGAAAATGTCTCCCTGGGGCGCTTCTGCAAACACCGAGGCCTTCAACATCAGGCAAGTACTCGTCGCCGCTCTGGGACTCGTGGGCAGCGGCGTCCGAATGAGGCGCATCCCTGGCACTCGGGAGCGTGTTCGCGGCGATCTCCGGGATGCACGCGCCCAGAGGGAACCCGAGCGGCCCCACCATCGTCGACATGAGTTCGGGCCACGACCACTTATGGAAGCCCGAGGGCGCGACGAAGTCGTCAGGAAGTGGCGCGCGTGGCGCGTGCGGGTTTGGCCGAAGGCCATTCGGTCCGCCGAACCCTGTGTTCTTGCCGCGGGAATGCACGGCGCGCTGGGTTTCCGAGTGCGTCGGTTTTCTAGAGGACCCCCCAGCGGGGTCTCGGCCCGACCCGCTGGCCATTCCCTGGGGAGCGGCCCAACGTGTAAACTTTGTCGGCGTCTCGAACCCGCAGAGACCTGTGCACTTCCCAGGTCGTCGGTCTTTCTGGCTCCATGCGGCATCGGGAAAGCCTCCGAAATGGCCAATATGGGTTCTGGGGCGGCTATGATGTTCCCGAGATGCGCCCAAGACGGCCCAAGATGGCGTCAGGATAGCCCAGGGCGGCCCAGAAGGCCACCGACAATATTCGAAGCGGGGCCGAACGTCCCCAGAGCGGTTCGCCGTAGGCATGTGGGATACAAGCAGAAGGAGCTGCCGAAGCATTCGTTGATGCACTCGTTGAGCTGCCGGAGCTTCGGCAACGCTGTCTCCACTGCGAGCGGGAAGCCGTCGGGCATGCCCTGGGCTGCAGTCAGGAACGCCCTGGGGGCTGGCCCGACGAAGATGCACTCGCGCCGGGCCCTGAAGAGAAGCGCGCATTGGGGGCGGCGGCATCTCGCAGGCGGGATGCGCCCCTGGACATGCGCGCCGTCGTCGCCCACATCGGGCGGCCTGCGCGCGCGGCTACATACGGCGCCCCCAACCAGCAGGATGATGTCGGAGAGCATGAATTTTAGGGGGTAACAATGAACCCTTACCGCAACGGTATCGCCGGTGAGACGGTAGGACGTCCAAGAAGGTCCAGCGTCAGCAGGCTCAGCATGAGCGCTTCGGTCACGGCGAAGGCCTGTTTCACTAGGCCAGGGTCGCCCTCCCCCGCCCGAGCCTGCCTCAGAACTCTGATTAAACTGCTCAGCCGGCCCGCCATCACCAAGCAGGAAGATATCCATCGCGGCAGAGCATGCAGCAGGTGGTCGAGGATGCGGAAGTCGCACACAATCGGCACCCCGACGCTGCGCGGGCGTGTGCGCCGCCGGCCGTCGCGCCCGTCGAACCACCCGGTGACCGACGACATCAAATGCAGTTTGCTGAGGACAGAAGCGCGGAGAAACTGAGGAACCGCTTCGCTCGTCTCCAGCGTGACACCGTCGCACAAATGCCGACGTGCAGCGCCGGGATCCCGCAGCGCCGTGTCGTCGATGAACTTGGGAGCCCCTGTGCATCGAAGCACGCAATCACACACCAGCCACACAGCCAAGCGAGCATCAGTGGTAGGCGCCGAGCGGAAGATACGTCGATAGACGCGGACCGCAAACACGACGAGACCTGAGCGACGCGTCAAGGCGAGGCTGCTTGCCCAACAAAGGTGCGTCAGACACGATAGGTCGATGCAGCAGCGGAGCGCGCTCGAACCCGACTCCACGCGCTCCCGGATTGCCCGTGGAACCAGCACGTCCGGCTGGACCACAACTAGGAGGCAGTAGAAGTAGAAGAACGCGCGGAACAAAGGCTTGCTGACGAAGCCCATGCGGACAGCGATCTGGTCAGAAGCGCTGCTAAGGTCCTCTGACATCAGGTCCGATCCCAGCAAATACTTCTCACTGTCATATCCTTGGTAAGATATCCCCGTCCAGGACGTAGGCTCTCGGATGTCATCATCGTGCTGCTGGTCTTGCTCGCTGTCGACGTCGGAGCAATCCGAGTCCGACTCGGCTTCAACGCGCGCTGGCGCAGGCGCGGGGGGCGGGGGCCCTGGCGCTGAGGAAGTATCAGCCTGGCGATCCCGTCGGCCCCAGTTCGACACCCCGCCGTGATTTGCACGCGCGGGAAATCCGTCCTCGGTACGGCAGGTAATGCACCGAGGACAACCTGCAAAGCCCTCGCACCGAAGGCGTTTCATCTTGAGACGCCGCTTCGGACATTGCTGGCGGTGCGTGCGCGGCCCAAAGGGGGGGGGGGGGCAGGGGCGCACTGAAGTAAGAAGAGGCGCCATGAAATCTGAGGAAATATCATGGCCCACGCCATGATGTCTACCCCCCGTGGTCATGAATGGCAACGTGAAAAGGGGGACTGACATAGGGGGGGATGCATCGACTTGGAATCGGCAATACATCGCCGATAGATCGGCGATAGGCCTCCGATTGTGAATCCGCACCTTCCTGGGCAGGTTGGGGCTATCTGGCCCCTATCGGCGGTCAATGGGCGATTGGGGGTCGATGCGTCCCCCCTATGCTTATCCCCCCCCTCGTTGCCCCCGAAGTATCACCCCCCTATTCGCCGCCCCCAAGAATAGGTGGAGACCGCTTGGGGTCGACGCTGTGAAAAAACTCGTGACGTCGGGGGTCCAAGATCCTGGCGTCGTCGCGCGTGCCACGCCGGGGGCCTTCGCCCCATGCATGTCGGGCCCCAGGGGCCTTCACTGATGGACCTCCGGCTCGAGAAATGCCACAGGACATCTTCGGCGGCAATTCGCGGGAGACTCCCATGCCATCTTGTCGGCTCTTGCGACTCGACGCTAGTCGGCAATAGTCGACGATCAGTCGACGCCAAATTTGACGCTAATAGACGCTAGCCGACGCTCAATCGGCGTTATCTCATCGACTCCAGACGCGAATCGATGTTAAAATTGTATTAAGAGGGTACACGAGGCTTCCATGGTGTCCTATCTAAGAAGCCGGGTTCTGGGGCGTACAATCATTTTTCATTGGGGACGCGCGAATCCAAGTCAGCGCTGACCTGGGCCAACCAGAGCCATGCCGCGAGCACGATGGCTAGCCGAAGGACAGCTCCAGGTCCGCGGAAGAAGACAGAGGGGGGCTGACTCGACGTGGCTCGCAACCCGGGTCGGCCCGAGGGGATCGTCGAAGGGACTGGCTGACCCCCCTCCTGCAGCTCCTCCTCCTGCAGCTCCTCCTCCTCTTCCTCCTCCTCCTTCTCTATAAATCCGCCTCCTCCTCCTCCTCCTCCTCCTCCTCTAAATCCTCCTCCTCCTCCTCCTCCTCCTCCTGCTCCTCCTCCGCCCTCGCCTCCTCCTACTCCCACTCCTCCTCCTCCTCCTCCTCCTCCTCCTCCTCCTCCTCCTCCTCTTCCTCCTCCTCCTCCTCTTCCTCCTCTTCCTCCTCCTCCTCATCATCATTATCATCATCTCATCATCATCATCATCATCATCGTCATCATCATCATCATCATCATCATCATCATCATCATCATCATCATCATCATCATCGTCATCATCCTTCTCGTCCTCCTCCTCCTTCTACTCCTCGTCCCCGTCCCCCTCCCCCTCCATCTCCCTCTCTTCTTCCGTCTCGCCCCACTTCCTCCTCCTCCTCCTCCTCCTCCTCCTCTTCCTCCTCCTCCTCCTCCTCCTTCTCTTCCTCCTCCTCCTCCTCCTCCTCCTCCTCCTCCCCCATCCTCCTCCTCCTCCTCCTCCTCATTGTTCGCGCTGACCCTCCGTGCGCCGAGACATCGGGTGGGCGGAAGCCGTCGGTGGCCGTCGTGAGCCTTCGGGAACCCTGAGCATCCGTTGCCCTCAGAAAACTAAGGTTAAGTTAAAGTTACGGATCTGCCGGTCAACATCATGAAAGTTAAGGGTAAACGCCCGCAGAACTTAAGGAAATCTAAGGGTATTTGCCCACAGAATCTAGGGGTAATTGCCCACAGATTGGTTTGGTAGATTTTTGGTAGATTTTGAAATCTACTAGTAGATTTTTAAAATCTACCAACTGTCTTGGGAATCAGTTACTTCTCACTCACCTCCTCCCAAACCCCATCCTCCTCCTACTCGCGCTCCTTCCACGACGACGACTGCCCCGAGGCCGACGATCCGCGTGAGGGGTGCGCCGAAAGGGGCGGTTAGGGTGTTTGGGTGCTTCCCGCGGCTCCTTGGGAGTCGAGCGGGAGCTGCAGTCTTGGGAATCTTGGGATACCCAGAGCACGCGAGAGCTAGATTTTGAAAATGAGACCAGGGCGTCATCCTCCTCCTCCTCATCATTGACACCATCATTACCAGCGTCGTCATCGCCCTTGCTGTCCTCGTTCGCTGGGTGGCGGCCGTGACGCCTCGTTGTCGTCGTCGTCGTCCTCGTTAGCTGGGTGGCGGCCGTGACGCCTCGTCGTCGTCGTCGTTCGCTGGGTGGCGGCCGTGACGCTTCGTCGTCGTCGTCGTCGTCGTTCGCTGGGTGGCGGCCGTGACGCCTCGTCGTCGTCGTCGTCGCCGCCCGCCGCCGCCCGCGCCCGCCCCTCCCCCCGCGTATTACGTGATCATATTCAGGACGCAGGCCAAGCGGCGCGTGCCACCCCCTGAGGATGAGGAGGAAGAGGAGGAGGAAGAGGATATGGAGGAGGAGGAGGGTAGGTGAGGGAGGGCCAGGGCGTCTGTGTTTTTGTTTGTTTGTTTCTTTCATGTTTTCGGCCAGGGCTATTATGGGCTACAGTCAAGCTATTGAAATAAGGCCCACTTCGAGGTCGGAAGGGGCTCGGTCGTTCCTTAGGTTGTCAAACTCGTCCTTTGGATTTGCATATTCGTTCCCAGGGGAAAAAAAATGGCTGCGTTCCTTATTTAGCGTTCCCTCTGGCCGTGCCACGACTGTATTGGGTTCCTGTAGGGCCCGATGGGGCCTTGGGAAGAATCTCATAAGCCTCGTGTCCCACGCGGGCCCGCGGATTGATTGGGTTGGTTGGCTGATTGGTTGGGCTGGTGGGCAAGCCTCCCCCTCGTCCGTCCTCACCTCCCCCTCCGTAGCCAATTTGGCTCAAATTCGAGGCGTGATTTGTTGTTTTTCACCTTAACGCTTGGTTTCAACTCGACCGCCATGGCGGGCTTGAAGAGGGACAGGGCCGTGGCGAACCCTGAGGTCTCGGATCGCGACTACACGGAGTGTACCGAGGAGTTCGTGAAGAACACGGCTCTTCACCATCTGCTGGGCCCTCGCCTGGCGACCGCTTTGCACACGGTCAGTCCGAACATGGTCGTCCGTTTGTGCCCGTTGATCGAGGCTCTCATCAAGAGGGGCGCCAAGAACGGCGTCATCTATCCCGTGAGATTTGAGGCGTGCCTCAGGGCGACTTGCCCGCAGTTCCCGAAGGAGTACAATGCGGCCGCATTCATACACAAGGCCACTGAGCACTTGCGCCACTCGCTGGCCATGTTGAGGGAGATGAAGAGGGAGGAGAAGCCTGGTGCTGCAGCCAGCAAGAGGAGCAAGACGGGCGCCTTCAGGCGAAACTGCACTTCGGCAGACGTTATCATCATCAAGGGGCTGCTGGAGAAGATGAGCGACGACTCCGTAGCCGAGGACCCGCCTGTCCCGCCCCTTTTGGACGACGGTGGCGCCCAGGAGGCTGGCGGTCACCACGGGGTCCACATTCCGACGCTGCAGTTACCCAGCGCCAGTGACGTGGACGAGGATGGCTACCCGACGATCTTCAAGAAATCCGCGTCCATCCTGGCTCTGATCAGCAATCGGAGCGCTGAGTCCAACTTGTCTGGTCCCGCGCCCTCGCTGGCGAGCACAGCCGTCTACGACGAGCACGGGTTCCCCTCATTCGTCAGCCTTCGGGCGCCTGTCCGACAGACTTCGGGACATGGAGGTGATGACGGAAGCGAGGATGAGGACAGGAGCTCAGAGGGTGAAGATTGCGTCCTGGACCCCAAGCCGAAGCGCCGCAAGCAGAACGCCGTTGGCGCCAGGCCCAAGAGCAAGGCGCAGGGCAAGGGCAAGGCGCAGGGCAAGGGCAAGGCGCAGGGCAAGGGCAAGGGCAAGGTCGACGCATCCGATGCCAAGGCGACCCCCCCGATGAAGGCCGCGAGGCGCGGGCTCGCCGTGACTCCAGATACGAGCGTCTTCCTGTGCCGTCCAAGCATGAGTGGCCCCACGAAAGAGGCCAACTCGCGGTGCGAGCTCGTCGCCCATCAGCCCCAGGTGGACGGTTCCATGAAGAAGGTGTGCATATGGACGGCGCGGGTTAAGATCTACGGGCCGAACCTCGAGACTGACATGAGACAAATATACGAGAAGATCAAGGACGGCAACATGACCAAGCCGATGTGTTTGGAAATGAGAGACTCCTTCCAGTAGGGAATCGTGTAGAATGACGGGAGGAGGAGGAGGAGGAGGAGGAGGAGGAGGAGAAACATTCTGCATGTCCAAGCTCGGCTGTCATCATGCGCTAGCGCCTGGGGTGGCGCGATGTGGGAGCAGCACGGCCGACTGCACCAGGAATAGTATGGCAACGCACCCGACAGAAAAGCTTCAAAACAAAATCTACGTGGTGCAATCTACGTGGTGCAACCAATGCGGTGCAAGTACAACCTCCGAAACGCAACCTACGTGGGGCAATCTATGCGGTGTAAGCTATGTGGTGTAAGCTATGCGGCGCCACTTGCGTGGCACAATCTATGTGGCGCAATCTATGTGGGGCGAGCTATGTGGTGCAATATATGTGGAGCCATCTACGTGGCGCAATCTATGTGGTGCAAGCTATGTGGGGTGAGCTATGTTGTGCAATCAACGCGGTGCGATCTACGTGGTGCAATCCACGTGGTGCAAGCAAAGGTGGTGCAATCAATGTGGTGCATTCTTTGCGGCGCAAGTCGTTCGCGGCGCGGCGTCGGGGGGGCCCCAGAGAATCTCGGGGAGGGGGAGGGCCGACGTAAACCTTCCCCGATTCCCGCCCCTCCCCCCGCTTTCTTCTTTCACGTCTCCATAGTTGCTTTGGGTCAAGCAAGATTCGAGAGCGACTCCATCGACGTTCGGCCTTCTTTGCGAGCCGTCTCGCTGGCGATGGCGGTCGCCAAGGGGAAGGCGAAGCCGAAAACGAAGGCTAAGGCGGCCCCACTGGCCGCCAAGCCTGCTGCTGCGCAGACGGCGGCGAAAAGGCCCGCGGCCGTCACTTGGC